AGACAGCCACGAGAAACGAAGGAACCGCACGGACCAAAGAGCCACAGCCACGGGAGAAGGAGCCGAGCCGTGAGATCCCAAGAGGTAAACACAAAATACTAAAAGCCATGAGGAAACCAAGGAGTCACCTCATGGGAAAAGCAAATTCTTGGAATTCCAAAGGCCGGTTTGGAATTCCAAGAGACAAACATTAAAACAAACATAAAAAGCATAAAATTGCATTAATTAAAAGATAATAAATGAACTAAAATATTAGCTCATAATGAGCTAACTCTTAGTTCAATAAATGAACTAAAGTCCAGCTCATAAATGAACTAAAAATTTAGCTCAAATATGATGAACTACTAGACTCAAGGGAAGCCAAAATTTGATTTATTTTGGACTAGTGTTGACCCCCCCTTTGTCTACATCAAAGGTTATGAGGCTGAATTCAAATAATTAGGGTTGAAATATAACTTGGTGGAACCTGAAAAAAACACCAGAGCTTAATTTTTTGGAGGTTTAAACCCATCCATTTCCAATATGGTACAATTGCGGTCTTAGTGGATATTAACTAACATCATCAACCTCACTCTCAAGGTAGAAAAGCAGCAACAAACCAAGAAAAAATAATATCAGTAGGTGTATAGGGCTTGGGGCCCCTCTAATGCTAGTTCTAGTAATTAGCCGACGGCTTAAAGCAATAGGATCACCTGTTGGACAAGATGGATCTCCTCCACTGGACTGTAGGACCTCAATTCCTACTTAAAGTATTTCAAATGCTGGACATATTACATCCAATTGCCATATAAGGCATTTGGTGATCTTAGTAGAAGAAACATCGGGCGAAACCACCACTCCCTTGGATGAAGAAATTGATGGAAGAACAGCTAGTCATCTGTTGTATTTTGAGTGTACTATATAAGGATGAGAATGAATGGCTCCATCACAATATATTCAGAACAACATGCACTATCCAAGACAATGTATGCAATTTGGTGATTGATTAGGCGACCTGTGAAAATTTGACGTCCACCCTCATGGTGGAGAAATTGAATTGTCCAATCACTTCGCATCCAAAACCCTACTACCTTTCTTGGCTAAAAAAATAAAGCGAAATCTCCATCACTAGACAATGCTTGGTGAAATTTTCAATTGGAGGAAAATTCCAATAACAAGTTTTGTATGATGTTATTCCCATGGATGCATGCCATCTTCTTGGACGACTGTGGCAATTCGATCGCTAGAACAAGCACGATAGATTCCATAATACATATTCCTTCCACAAAGAAAGGTAATTGGTATTGTTATTTCCCTTACAAGAGCTAGCGGCTTACTATCCATCGACTACAAGTAATGCCTCAGTCCCTCTTCATGTAGTCGTGTAGCTTGGTCAACCATAGATTTGTCTGGTGGTCATAAAATCCAACAGAGAGCAGCTCAGCCAACAACCTTCTAGCCTATTTTGAAGCAGTTTGCTGATGCATGTTTAGATTCTATGCTGTTAGGGATCTCTTCGATGCAAGAGATTTGGCACGCCAATGATTTCATTCCTGGATCGGTCATTCCAAACCGTCTCGCCTACTAGATGGCACGAAACAGAATATGCCGAGCTACAACAAGTGGATGAACTGATTGCAAGCTGCCTAGTTCAACCAAGTACCAGCCCTGTGTAGTTTCTGCCCTACTTGTGCCAAAGAAAGATGGGTCTTGGTTGATGTGTATTGACAACCATGCCATGAACCAAGTTGCCATTTAGTAATGCTTTCTCATTCCCTGTTTAGATGACTTGTTTGATCAATTGCATGGTGCCTCTTATTTCATTCTTGGATCAATCATTCCAAATTTCTTGCCTATCAGATGGCTTCAAAATGTATATGTTGAGCTACAATAGCAAGTAGATGAGCTGATTGCAAGCGACCAAGTCCGACCAAGTGTTATCCCTTTGCAATTCCTGCCCTCATGCTAATGAAATATAGGTCTTGGCGCATGTGTATCGACAATCACGCCTTGAACAAATTTACCGTTAAATACCGCTTTCCAACTCCTCGGCTAGATGACTTGTTTGATTAATTGCATGGTGTCTCTTCTCCAAATTGACCTAGGAAGTGGTCCTCATAGATGCAAATGCGGCCAGGAGACGAATGGAAGACCACATTCAAGATCCTGATAGCTTATATGAATATTCAGTTATGCCTTTTGGGCTCTCTAACGCACCAAGTACTTTCATGTGGATGATGAATCAGATTTTTTGGCCATTCTTAGACAAGTTTGTTCTCATTTATTCTGATGATATTTTGGTATGTAATGAGGAAGTGGAAGAGCACATCCAACACCTACAATTTGTGTTACAAATGCTCCGGGATCAAAGGTCATTTTCCCAAGGCCGATGAGCCTTTCCGTGTTGTTAAGCGCATCAACGACAAAGCCTACTAGCTGGAATTAGAGAGCGATTATCCAGCTTGAATGTGTCAGATTTAAACCCTTACTATGAATATCCAAATTTAGATTAGACTGAAACTGATGTGAAACGTACATGCTATGGAGGAGTTACTTTAAGAAATTAAAGAGATCAATTGTAACTTAATAACCCACAATAAAATTATCGTTTATAATAAAAGAGTGATCATTAGAATTCGTGGTTTTAACTTGCTTAGGCAAGGATGAGCAAAATCCGGAAACCAAACAATTTAAGAAAACGCAAAGTTCAAATTGTAAAACTACGACGACCTTCTCTTTAGTTTTTTAATACTTTTTTGTTATTTTTTGTAATTTCCTTAAATTTCTATGTTATTTCCATTGTAAGGGTCTAAGGGTCTCTTGAGGTAGCCTTTTTTTATAAATAAGAACTACATCCCTCCCTTTTGTAATAAGCTTTAGATATAATCCAGAGTCTTTGAAATCTATTCTAGGTTTCTCTCTTCTCTGTATCCTGGTTGAGTTGGTGGTGGTTACTGTTTCATCCGGCTGCCACGGTATGTTGTTGCACACCTCTTTCCTCTTTCCTTCCTTTCCTATTCATCAAGAAGTGAAGAAATTTGCTGCCCGGCTCTTTCTCAAACCTCAAAACTGCTATATGCCCTTTTCCAAGCTGTCGATCTGTTGTCCATTGCCTTCCAGTTGTAGGAACTACAGTTCGTCTCATCTCTACAGCCACTGTGCAATCTACCTCTTAGTTCAATAAGGAATGCTCCCGACCTTCTTTTATCCCCTCTCATTTCTCTTCAAGGGGCCATTTGGTTTGCTGCAATTAGGGTTTAGAATAATCCAAATATAGGGGTTTTGATAACTTGGCTATTTGGTTGGATGAAAAATAAATTCAAAGTAAAGTAAATCAAATGCAATGTATTCATGTTAGTTCATTTTTGGTGTATTTGGAATTCATTATATTTGGGCGATTTCCAAATATACCGCAAACTCAAGGGCATTTCCACCCTTTGCCGGCGACCTCTACTCATTAGCTGCCACATCAGACCACCGCCAGCCACCGCCGGCCACCACCGCCGGCCACCACCACCACCCGGTCACCGTCTCTGGCTACCACCGCCACCAGCGTTCACCACCTCCGGCCACCGCCGCCTCTAGCCACCGTTATTCACGTTACATTGCAACCATTTTACATCAAAAAAAAAGAGTCACCTTAAACCCTTTACATTCATCCAAATACTACAAAGTATTTGTTTTACACTGCATTCCTTTTTTCAGGTAACCAAACAACCCCTAAATCATTCCGGTATCAAGAACCATTTCCCTTGCTGCTGAAATGATATTTTGGAATGATGATTTCTTCCAAATCCTTAAATAGTCTCTGCAAGTTGGCACTTTTTTTATTGATTTGTGGTTATAAAAGTTGAATGGAGAAATGTAATAAACATTTGTTAGGTACCTTAAAATGAATACATGGACTTGGATGATTTTGATGATATTCCATTTGCATTTATGTTTTCAAATTATCATTTATGTTACCTTTATATTGATAGCATTTTTCCTATGTTTTGGTCATTGATTCATATGACGATTTAACTTTGACTAAAGATTATCTTCTTTACCATTATATATGATCTTAATTGGCCGTGATAAACATTGGCCATTACACATCTGAAATGACCATAAACACCAGGTCATGAAAGCTTATTGACACATTTAATGCGGACCTTTTTTAGGCCAAAGCTGATGCCTGTTAAGTGGTAGTTCGACCTGGCAAAAAAAATCTTAGTTGTTTCTATAAATCCTACTTCATGATTGGTATCTAATAAGTACTGGTCTTCTATAAATCCTTTTTTAACCATGTAACCTTCTGAGAGCTCATTTGATTTTAATCCTAGTTTAACGAAATTCTTTTGGATGGTTTCTGATGACGTAATACTTTATAAACGCCTCTTTCCTAGACAAGTTTACCTTTTGTCTTTTCACAATTAATTGTTTTCACCTGCCGGATGGTGTTTCATGTATCCTTTTGTCATCTTAGTATGTTCTTTGACCCCTTGTGCTCAACTAAGTGTGTAAATAGAGGTGGGTGGGTATCATAATCAACCCAGACCCAGGTTTTGAAATATTAGTGAATTTTAATGGTTTCATATTGGTTATTAGTTCTCAAGGTTTTGCATCCACCAAATTTGTGTCAATTTGACCATTGCACCCACAATATTTTTTGATTTAGTTGAATATATTTAAATGCACTTGTGTATTTTTACATACCCTTTTATACTATGGTCCTTGATACAAAATTATAGCTTTTGTACATAATTTTATCTTAATTTAATAATTGATGTACAATAAATACGTGGCTTGTAGGAAAGAAATCATGTGGTTGGACTCAGAAAATTGGTTAGGCTCAGTTCTTGGATGCATTTTGATGTGATTCTTAAAATTAGAACCGTAAAGGTTGGCAAGTAGTTGGATACTTTGCTGTATCAAAAAACGACTCATACTAAATATTTCATTTCCTATCTTGATGAACAGTACTCTAACACTGTCTAATAGTATAGTTTTTTTATCTTAAACCTAGACACTCGGACATTTGGTTGGCCATGCTAGATTGGGTTGGACTGGGCTTGCGAAAAAAACCTTTGTTGAACCTGAACCTGTTCATCCTGAATCGCATGAAATAGTTGGCATTGATTGAAATCTTTATGATAACACTGATAATTTATTATATGCTTACGTTCAAAAAGAGTGGTTATAGTTGGGCATGTTCTGCTTTTCTTCAAAAACAGTGATTATAGTTGGGTATGTTCTGTGCATGACAGTTCTCATTGCTATTGTTATATCGAGAGTTTACTGGGCCTACGTCTGATTGCACCAAGTTCACTATTGGTTAATGTACATTGATGTTGTTCCACATTTACACTGCATTCTACTCTTTATGTTGTATGAGGTTAAAAAAAATGTTTTATGAGGTAAATTAAATAATTTAGCTTTGCTGATATATACACCTGGCCTGTTTTCTAGATTTCAAAATAGATTTGGAAAACATCTTAAGTTTCTGCATCAAATGAGAGTTAGGCACAGAGACTGTCTGCCCCCTATGATTATTAATGGAAATCAATGCACCATGCAAAGCATGCACCAGGCTGCTGCTGAGGAGTATCTTCAAGCTTACAAACATCAGCCTGAGAATCCACTAATAAATCTTTGTGTTGGTATGGTTTTTTCTAAAGTCTGACAAAGTATATTGAGACTGTTGAGTCAAGATTCATTCTTGAGATTAATATCTTCCCATCATTGTTTTCTTGTGCATGACAGGTACTGCTTTAATCAACCTAGCCCTTGGCTTTAGGCTTCAGAATAAGCATCAGTGTGTGGTTCAAGGTTTTGCTTTCCTCTACAACTATCTAAGTATATGCAATAACAAGCAGGTATGGTGCAAATTCTTAATAAGATTTACATGCATTTTAGATATATCTTATGCATTTTAGAACAAGTCCAGTTTTCCTATAACAAAATAGGAAGTTGTTATAAAGGGAAGTCTTTATAGATTATTTATGGATAAACTTCTTAGCAGACCATTGACCTAGTAACGTTGCCTAATTTTCTTTGAGGAACATTACTATTGATTATTTTAAAAAAAAATTTACCTCCCAGCCATGTTGAAGTCAGGAAGCACCTCAAGGAAGAAAATTTTAATTTTGTGGAGGCGTTCAACAAGCATCTGGCATGCTCATAAAGAAAAAAAAAGAACTTAGGATGTCCCAATGAGGAAAATTGATATATTATCCCAAGAGGTATATATTAATAATCATATTTTTTTAATGTCAAAATTTAGTTTTTAGACTTCCTATGATCTTAAGCGCCATAGTTGATTGTCCTCCTCTATCAGAAGAGTGTTCATTTTTAACAAGGTCACTCAACTCTACCTCTCGTAGTTCTCATTTTATAACTACGACCCTCAAAAATATATATTTCCCAATACTGTGCAATGCGTGGTTCATTATTGTGGGATTAGCGTTAAACTGTATCAACATATAATAATTTTTCATTTAGGGAACCCTAAACCCTCAAATCTTGTGCCTTCGTTTCATTGGTGTCTCCCATTCGCCCACACTTGTGGCTGTCCTTACTTGTAGGTGTTCTCCACTTGTCGGCATGCTTTGCTTACAAGTGTGCTCCACTTGCAGGCATGTTCAGTTTGCGTGCACCCCATTCATTCAAAAAAATCCTACGGTCATTTCATGATTCAAATCAATCTTCATCCCTTTTGTTTATCTTGTGACACATCGTGCTCGTTGATTGTTGCCTGTGGTTGTCCTGTCTGGTCATCCATGTTTATTTTGTCATGCTTGTGGATTTCTTGATCTTCATTCTCACCAACTCTTGTTGTAGGCTCTCTCTGTATCTTATTGAGTTTGATCTTATGCCATTGATGTTTTTGATGGTGACCCGTCTCGAGCTACCCATATGGAGCTTGACTGATGCAATAACTCTCCTACTGACTTTGACATTCTTGACTTAGTAGGTTTTGTAATGTGGGCTTACTTCTTTCCTTTTGGATAGAAATTACTCTCTTAGCTTCAAGTTATCTTTTCTTTATTTTATTTATTTATTTATTTTTTAGCTTCAAGTTATCTTGATCATCCTTTGAATTCTATTTCTTTTCTTTAAATGTCGTTGCCTTTAAAAACAAAATAGGCTGTTATTGATTGTACCCAATTCAAAGAGTTAGTAAGAATTTTCTATAACAATTTAATTTTATGAGGGATATTGTGGTATCCTTGTGGGCCCCACGCTTCCTCTCTTTAAAAAGAAAAATAAATAAATAAATAAATAAATAAGTGCTTTGTGGTATACCTATGGACATTCGATCAAGAGCTTGCTTTAATAATTTGCAGTTATCCATTGAGCGTGCTGTGACTTTTTGGCTTTTGATTTAGTGAGCCTAGCTAATCTTGGGATTGTTTGGCTCTTTGTTAGCAATCATGTGTTACGTTATCCAAGATGATCTCCTAAGGATTGAGGGTGGAGGTTTTATGACATGGAGATATGAATGATGAGAGTTTTATCAAGCCAAAGCGGAAGATGCACCTTAGCCTAAGAATGGTTCTCCTTAGGATGCATCAGTGCTTGGTACTGCATTTTGATGTTGGTGGTTTCCACCATTCTTTATATGGATGACGATGTAGGTTTCATTAGGCCTTTGTGGGGAGGTTAGTGTAGATTTCATAGGTGCCCTTGGCTAGTGTCATTAATTTATGGGTTCCAACTTGACTATCGTGTTTGTAATCTGAGAAGTTATATGGGTTAGCTTTGAGCTTATTGAGCCAAGGGTGTCTTTGGTTCTTCCTTTGCAAATATTGATTCTTGAGTCATGCAAGAATCAATGTTTCTTCTTCAACATGATTGCTTGTACTTGTGATCATTGATAATAAACTCGGTTCATCCCTCAAACTTGTTGAGCTGGGAGGAGCGTCGACTTTGCCCTTTTACTTTCTAATTCATTTTTTCCTAAAAACCCTAAAATTGGAATAAATTTCACAATTTTCAATTTGCCAAAACTTCTCTATTATCTATTTAATGATTAGGGTTTTCTATTTTTGGATTATTTAAATTTAAAAATTATGAAAATAAATTTTTTGTGAAAAATCCTAATTTCTACCATTAAAAACCCTCCTAAGATAGTTTGGAACAATAATCATGAAAAGATTTTCTTAAAAATCCAAGAATACGAAAAATCCTAATTTCTCCAAACTCAAAATTTTTTTGGGAAAATTTTAAATTCCAAGGCTAAAATCTCCCCTAATAATCTCCTAACAAAATTTTAGGTTTTAGAGAAACCCTAGAAATTCCTTCCAAAGAAATCTTTACAAAAATTGAGAAATCTCTTAATTAAAACATACCTTAACTCTCCCTTAGTCTTCCTCTTGAATTTCCCCCAACGAATCCACCGGAAAACCGCCTCCACCCCCGCCAATGAACCTTCCCGGTCGCCCCTTAGTTCACCTCCCTTGCGTTCGGCCAAACGTGAATGAGAAGGGACTTCGGTCCCTTAAGGGGCTTTGGACGATTATGGAGAAAAAGAAAAGGTCTTATTTACCCTTGTATGCCTTAGGTATATTTAGCACTAAGAATGGCTATTAAGTAAATAACCATTTCATTTATAAAACTTCGGCGATTTTTAATTCCAATTTTGTACAAAATTTAACCTACATTCTTTATATCAATTCGTTCGAAATTTCGCTTAGAATTTTATAAAATTGATTGCGTCAAATTCCGACAATTTTCGAAAATTCGTCTAATTTCGTCGTGGTACATCGAAATACGTGCAACGCTTACAATCGACATTTATTGAGTTTTATATGGTAGATCATCCATAGCTTTCATTTCTTTTTTTCTTTTTTTCATAGGCTGGACGTATTAGATGGTCAACAAAGCTAAAACTTAAAGCATCACCCCCCATCATGTTCTTATTATTGTCTGAGGACTCATTAATAGTTTTGTTTTTTTTTCAACAGTCACTTGTAAGTAATTTAATGAACAATCAGTATAATTGTCATTCTTAAGCCCTCGCATTTTTTTTTTTTCATCCTATAATTGTTTATCCTCATCCTACATTAGTTTACAATTTTTATACATCATAATCAGATCATGTTTCCTTATGAACTTCTTGTTGCATGTTCAACTAATATTTTATAGTTGATTGTGATGCTATGCTTCATTGTCATTAGCTTTTTCTTTATTAAAATCATATGAAAAACATCAGATCGCCACTTCATTTAGTTCTTTAATAACTCATATTTTTGTGTTTTCAATTTCATTGTATTTATATATGATCAAAAAAACATTTTCTACAAATTTTTGCATTTTCTATTTTCTAATAACAACTCTATTTTGGCATACCTTTGTTTTTTCTAATCAATTTTTTTTTGTACCATAGTCAATTTTGGTTAGCTTGATGAGCTCTACAATATCTAGCTAGGGTCAGGAATTTAGAGAAAATGGTTGTTAGTAATAACTGCATAATCTCACAGATTTCATTTAGCTTTTCCACCTCTTGTAAGAATTTAGTGTCTCACATCCACGTCAAACACCACTACAAAAAGATAATATTTCTGTTATTACTACTAATAATACATTCTTTCACATCCGTATCGAACATATTGAAAATGACTACCACTTCATAAAAGATCACATTCTCTCCAAGAAAATTCAATTTCTCTACATCAACACTGGAGACTAACCAGCTGACATGCTAACGAAAACTCTCATCCAAGAGGACCAAGACCCAGTATCACCAACTTGGCATCAAGCTGTCTTTATAACCTCGAACTGTCAACTTCCAGGGAAGTAATATTCGCTTCTGCCAGCCCAAATACTCTCAGCCTCGTAGAGCAAACCTTTCTCAGTCGTCCGATAATAACCACAGCACTCATCCAAGCCGTCAACTGATAACATACTAATTCCTGTACTAGAACATTCTCATCCTCTTATACAATGTAATAGCCTATCTTCTGTTTGTGACAATTGAAATAAAAATAAATGTTACGATTCTTCTGTGCTTTATCATTATCTTCTCTATTTTGTGAGTTTATACTTCCCTTATCATCATCTCAACATGAGCCCGATCTAGTTCTTGATTGCCCACCTGAAGGAAGGTGAAGGTTAGGGATGTCAAAATAGGTTTTTGGGTTGTGTTCGGGTCCAACTCGAAATTGACCCGCTCTCAAATAATCCAACCCAAACCCGACCCGATTACACAAATGAGTCAGGAATCTGACCCGAACCCGACCTGCCCCAAATCCGAGTCGACCCGACTCGACACGCTGACCCGGGCAAGCGTTGATCACGGGGGCAAGTGCGTGGGTGTGACCTGAGCAGTAAGGGTGCAAGGGCGATGCGAGCATAACGTGAGCACGGGTGTGAGGTTGCCAACACAAGTGGGGGTTAGAGTACGCGGGGCTGGGGACTAGGTAGGCTGCATCACAGGCGAGCTGTGAGTGTGATGTGGTGCGAGCACAGGGGGCCTGAGATGCGGGTCATATTTGGGTTAATTTGGGTTACCGGGTTGACCCGAACACACCTCAGATTTTTAAAATGGGCTAAAAATCTGAACCCGAATCCAACCCGTTTGCTAAACGGGTCAACCCGAACCCGGATATTTTGGGTCGGGTTCGGGTCAGGCTATTGGGTCATGTCATTATTTGTCTCTCCTTGTGAAGGTCATTCTGCTGATGTTATACCCTCGTCATTCTCATCCCTATGTCAGACCTCATTAACGTTATACCGATCCATATATTTGGACAACTATGATGATTACTATGGGGTTGATTGAGTTGATTGGCCCTAGAAGGATTTCACGAGGACTGCTTTGGAGTTGTTTGTTTTAACCCAACATAGTACTTTAAACTTGTTCTCCGTTGGAATGACTATGGGTTTTATTGCCTTAGTGCGAGTGTCTGCTTTTTATTTGAGTGGTAGATTTAGTTTTGTTCTGGATGCAAATGCTTCAGATTTATATCCACCCGTAGGGCAAAAGGCAGCCGGAAATTTTTAAGAGACTGCAATTATGTCATCGATGGGATTGGCGATGGAAGTCTTGCATTTGGGCTCAGTAGGCCTCTGCTTGGTTTCTGTTGCTTCGATAGTTACATTTGACAATTTTGAGGTCTTAAGGGGATTAGATAGGCCCATGAAAGATCACAAAGCTCTTTTAGCTTACCTAACTGGATTAGATTAGTCCATTTATCAAGAATTATCCACTGATTCAGCTATAGCTTGTACCCAAATGTTATCCTACCCTGATGTAGGGATAGTATTCTGATTAACATTTTAACCACAGTTATTTCTGCAATATTTAATAATTCATACAAACATTTCTTTCCAATTTCAGTGTTGCTTAAATTTTTTTTTGTATTTTCTTCATCACAATGTTCTGGTCTTGCAGGAAGCCCTTTACAACATCGCTAGAGCATATCAGCACGTTGGCCTTGTGACTTTGGCAGTTTTGTATTATGAGAAGGTTCTTGCAATTCAACAGAAAGATTTCCCCATTTCGAAGCCTCCTAATCAAGATCCAGGTGCTCCAGCAAGTCATAAACCAGGTTACTGTAATCTTCACATGGAAGCAGCTTTTAATTTACATTTGATTTACAAGAAAAGCGGAGCAATAGATCTGTCTAGGAAAATTTTGAAGAGCTATTGTACTCCTTAAATTTAACCATCAAATTTATTTTCTTAATTTAAAATGAATTTTGCTGTTTATTTATTTATTTATTTTTGCTAATTACAAAGGTGATTTGAATGGAGTAAAGGGTTTGTTAATTGTAGTGGTGTAACTTGAAGATTGTCAATGCCATTCTCAATTTTGGGGAAGGAAAGGGCATCAACTGCAATTGATAAAAATCTTACTACTTGCTGTATATGAGTGTTTTAGAAAATTAATTACTACATTAACACCTTCATCATCAATTTGAGCATAGAAACCTATTGACTTGCCAATATTTAATACATGAAATACTAAGATCATTTGTTATTTTGATATGAAAAGTTGGTAAATATAATCAAAGACAAAAGGTACATTTGTTTTTCTCTTCCATTATATGCACAACTTCACCCAGGGTCCATCAAAATGTCATGTTTTTTCATTAGATTCGCATCTACATTATAAGGTATTCTATACAACTTTGTAACCAATTCATGGAACTCATAAAAGGACTAAATTTTACTGAATTTGTATCCATCCATCTTACAAAGGGATAAGAAAAGATAGAAAAAAGATCGAAGAACTGAATCAATCCCAGCAAAGATCATCAAGATAATAGATGCATGATCAACAAAAGATGAAAACTCTGGTGTGAGGTGAGGCACATTCAAGAAAATGATGTATTCAATGGTAGATTAGAAAAATAGGAAGAGTAAGATTTTGTCAGAAAATTATCTACTCATTCTACTCTTGTAAAATTTACTCACAACATTATTTGATGTTATTTATTTAGCAAGTTTTTGAATATTATAATTGGCATTTTTAAAAAAATTGCTAGGTGTTAACCTTACATTCACTTAATTAATTTGCTATTTACTAAGTGAATAGAAGAAAGATAAGATAGAAAAAGTAGAGAATTCTAAGAGAGATTACATTATTTATAAAGTAGAAGTTATAACTCGCTCGGAAGAGCTTTTGAAAAAGAAAAATATTATAATTAAGGCTTTGTTTATGACATATTTTTTAGTGCTTTCTAAAGTAACTTTTTAATTCAAAATTTTTCTGAACTATACATCTTTATACTATAAGTTGCTTTAAAAAACAGTAACAAAAAGCTGTCGCAAACGGAGCATAAGTGTAGCATGAATCAGCTTTTGGAGATTCTATTGTTTCAATAAAATTATATATATATATCTTATATAAAATCCGTTTAGTTAATCTTTACTCTTGAGGTTTATTTTCTGAGTTAAATTAAGTTTTCATTTGGAACGGTTTTCTTACTGCTGCTTAAATCAGCTTTTAAAATTTTAATTTTTCTATTAAAAATTTTATTTATGAAGTAATAAAAAAGTTATCCCAATGATCGTTTGGGATATCTTTTTTACTACTTTTTAAAACGGAGTTTTAGTACAAATTTTTGCTCTCAACCAATAGGCCAAGGAGAGTTGTGTAAATTTTAATTTTTCTATTAAAAATTTTATTTATGAAAAAAAAGCTGTTCCAACAAAGTCTAAGAATAGTACTCTTCAACTTGTCTCATATTGTTCCGACTGTATCACCTTTTGGATCTATGTTGTATGATAGCTTGGGCCTATTTGTGGGGTCCACTGCATCCACTAAAGAAGCATAGATTGACTCAATTAATACCATATTAATTTGAGAAAAACTGGCATATCAAAATCAGTTCTTTTTTTTTTTCTTTAAAGAAAATTAACGCATCAAAATGGCACCAGATTGATCTTATATACACTGAATGCGTTACTTATATACATAATTAACTACTTTATCGTATAACCTTTAAATTCAAAAGAAAAAATAGGATATTGTATGAGAAGTTCCTTCAATAAAAATGCAGTAGAGGAGCTACTGATAAATCTCATTTTCCCCATTAATTCCAACGTATAACTCCTTACTCTTAAATTTCATTAAATGGATTGCAATAGCTAAGCATCAAACATGTTACAGAAATACAAAGCCGCAGCACTCAACGGCACCCTTAAAAAATATTAACGTAAGAAACTTTCGGTAACCTCCATATTAATTAACTTCACCACCTTTCCTAACAATCAGTTCTCTCTCCACCCAACTATAAATTCATCTCCCTCCCCAACCCATCCCACCACCATTACTATACCACATAAGAACATAAGATGGCAAAATCAGTAGCAGCAGCGTCTGCCTTCGTCTTCCTCCTCGTGGTCAGCACATCCATACCAACAGCTTCTTCATTCCAGTTAATTCCTGATTTCCTCAAGTGCTGGTATGCCGTTATTGAGCTTAAAGGCTGTTCAGTGAACATCGTTCCTTCCAAACTAGATTTCCAAATTAAGCTCACCGAGCAGTGCTGTAAGGCCATAAACGGTATTGAAGAGAGCTGCCTTCATGTTGTGTTATCCGACCATACGATTGGCTCAGCGCTGTTGAACTTGACTTCCAAGGTCTGTGCTGCTCCGGCTGCCCAGGTCTCTCTCCATCACCTCCACCACAAACATTTTAACAAGTTGAATTGACCATTAACGCTGCCTTGTACGTTTGGTGAATATGACAGTGGAAGTTGAATGGTCGTTGTTTTGTTTTGTATTTTTTTTTTTTTTGGTTTGATAGAGTGCCTTTATTAAGTCATATATTGATGGTTTCTTAATTTATGTAATAAGGTTGTTCAAGTTGTTTCCTTGTAATGTGTTATATTCCTTATATATGTTTGCTGTTTTGTTGAGATTTTATATAATTTTAGTAGGATATACAGCTATATTCGAAGTCAAGGCTATGAATGGAAACTGCAACGCTTGAAATATTAATTACATCAATTTTTTAATACAGGAGGCTAAGAAGATTTTAATTTATTAGAGAGCAGGTACTCTTAGGAAAAATTTTACCATCTACAGTCAGTTTTTGAAGCTTTCCTATAATATGAAGATATTGAAATGAAATGTGAAAACTCATGGGGTAGTCATAAAATTCTAAAATTGATTTTTTTTTTCACATAACTTATCTTGATCTGTTAGTTGGTCCTTTTTGTGCACTATTAGTAATAACAAATCACAATTGCACACACAAGTGCGATGATGTGCAAATCTGGAACATACAAGTCCTTAGGCAGAAACTATTAGGATCAAAATAAACCAATTTAGCGCTCTACGACGAGTGAGACAACTCAGATGAGAGCTGTAATAGACACGTTGAAGTCATATAGTGTTTTTTTTTTTTTAATTTTTAATTTTATTTTTGAGTCATTTTCGTATGTTTATTCTAGGAAGGAGACATGTGAAACAACCAAGAGACACATACCTGAGAGAAATAAGAGAATATTAAATTTTAATTTTTAATTATTATAATTTTATTATATAAATTATATTGAATGATGTCAATCATAGCATATGATATTCCTTACAATTGAATAATCTGTGCAGGAATTTGTTGTATTAATTAGAATATTCTTAAAAGTAATTTCAATTAACTAATCAAACTTTAGTATTAATAAAATTTGATGCTCATTTCTTAACATTTTTAGGGTCTTCTAAACATAATAAATCTTGTATAATGAAGAAGATTCGAGAATGTTGTTGGTAGAAGAATCTAGGATGTTTGTAATAAACAAAGAAGACTCTAGAATTACTATGTTATAGAAGTCTCTAGATTTAGCTTTCATACCTAAAAATAAGTAATGCCATGATGTTGTAAGCCAAACTGAAAATCACTCTGCAAAAGTTTAGTAATAAATTCTTCTTCTATTCTCCCATACAAAATCTCTAAAGCCCATTACTTGCCTCCATATCTTCCTTTTGTCTAAAATATTCCCACATTTGGTAAATATACACTACAATGTATGGCTACATACTAGATCAGAAAAGAGAAATAAAAAGTCACGACTGTACAAAAATTAGAAACTACATGTACCAACTAATACAAAACTTGACCTGGGATCATAGCTACTCAACCAAATCTTTATCTTTTTCTCTGACTTGAAATTGAATGCGTAATAGGTTTGAGCCAGCATAGCTAAGCAGATCACAACTACTAATCTAAACTTTTAATAAATAACCCTTTATACATTTAACTAAATTTTAAAAGAAACTAATAACAATTCACTATGCTACCACGTGAATAATCCCTTATGACTCCTATGTGCTTAGCACACATTGGACTTTTATAATAGGCCCTTATGAACCCTTATGCATTCAGCACAATAGAACTAGCTTCCTCCAAAATAAGATCTTAATAGAATCATATAATTTAAGTAGATAAGCACAGATATAATTGCATTAAAATCAAAGAAATGCAAATAAACTAATTTCAAAAATGCACCAAATACTTTATTTTAAATGCACAAAATACTTTATTAGTAGGCAACATATTTAACAATAGGGCAAAGTTTTATAGTTTCAAATTTTCACCAGATTATCAGGGATTGTTCATAATATTATTTTGAAGCTTCAAATGTACTACAACATTATTTTCTAACATTAAAATTATTTTCTAGTTTGCTAAAAATGTTGCACTTTTCAAATTATCAAATAGAAATTTTCTAAAAAAAATATCTAAATATTCAGAATGATCATATCTATAACATATATAAAGTTATATGATGAAAGTTTAGTAGTTGTAAAGTTAATCTCATTTTTATGTTTTAAAATTATAATTTAAATCAATAAAATCTAAAAATGTTCATTGTTTTTATTTTTTTTTTAAATTGAGATAGGCAGAACATAACTTATCATAATCCAAAAAACTTTATAAATTGGGCCGATAATAAAAAAATGGACTGAATCAACTGAAATGGACTTTCTCTCAGTAGGTTTTCCCCCTTTCTCTCTTTAAAATACAACTTGGCGGGGGGGGGGGGGGGGGGGGGGGGATGCACAATGAGAAAAAAAATTCTTTGTTAAAAAAATGAGTAACTTACGTGAAAATTGATATGTTTGCTTAATCTAGACATGGCATCATGGCACTCTAGACAACACCAATGAAACCTCAACTAATTGAAAGCTTAGCCCTGCCATACCTAATTCCAATGTTGCAGTGCTTCTATGAGGAAAATTCAAGATTTTTCATTCATGCACACA